TTTTTTTTTTTTTTTTGGCAATTTCATCTACTATCTTTAAATTTAGTGAGTTTAGCAGAAGATATTTCATATTATTTTAAGTCTCCATCTTGCTGGTTCCAGCGTCTCTGGCACTGTGAGAGCCACACTAGCCCAGGGCTGCCAGTGTCTCCACTCACTGTCCATGTGGAGAAACGAACGTCTACCTTCCAGGGCCACTGGCACTGTTTTGGGGTTTTTGTCTCATGCAGTCGAAAATAATCCTGTTATACTCTGACTATTTACATTGGAAAATAAAAGACTAAAGGAAACATATTAATATTGTCAGAATAACAAAGGGATCCCCGCCCTTGCCAAAGCAAAGCATGCTGCAGTGGGCTGCAGCACCGAGAGAGGGAAGGCCTTTCACCAAAGGACGTCCCTGACACGCGACACGCTGGCCTAGAGCCCGCGAATGACTGACAGCACCTCTGGAGCTCTCTTTCTGCTTCTTAAAATCTCTCTACATCATCAGAAACATCATCAAACAAAATGCATTTTAACTGAATAAGAAATGGAAGGAAAGAGAAAACCGAGAGGGATATACATGCACCGGAACCATCTATTTTGACCCAATCGCAAAGCGTCACACGTCCCCACCCCTCCAGCTCCTCGGAGAAAAAGTGCTGGTCCTGAGAGCGTCTCCACCCCTCGTGTGCATTCTCATGGGCAAACCTTTCCTGTGTTCCTATTAAACGCAGTACCTCCACTTTACACCCAAACGCTCTCCTTCTAGCGGTGTCGCCTCCTGCGATAGGGCCCGTCGTGAACACCACCGACGGAGAACCCCCCTCAGAGGAGACTTCACTGCACAGAGCGCTTGGCTGGCGCAACAGAGTCACTGTAGTCACCTGGTCTCCCCGCGGGCCGGTCAGCCTTCAAAATGACAGCCAGGCCCTCCGAGTCGGTCGGCAGGACAGAGCTGCTGAAGTCCACGCGGGTGAGGCTCTCAGGCTCCCTCCTGGAGGCGCCCGCAGTGCTCCGGGGACCGTCCCCGCCGGGGGTCGTCGCCTGGCCTTCTCTCCTGGGTCTCAGCACTACGTGGACGATGCTCTGCTGGTCCAGGTCACAGCTCTGTGGGAACAAAGGGGACACACAAACAAACGCCAGGTGAGGTCAGAGATGCCTCCAGTGCTAGAGCGGGTCACAGACTAAACTCTGCCCTGCGGGTGTCCCCTGCAGCCGTGGGACGCAAGCAGGGCGACGTGTGACGTGTGTGACAGGTAAGCCAGGCACACTTCCCAGCCGGGGGCACTGCACTCACACATGTGCCTGTCCCCCAAGCACCGCGCGCAGGGCCGGGAACTGTGAAGGGGGGGCGGGGGGTGAATGAGAGGCGACCACAGGAAACCAAGGGACCCGCAAAGGGGCCTGAACTCTGCTAGACGAAGCAGCGCTCTGCACGCATACCCAAGGCCAGGGAAAGGGGCACAGAGAGCTGGTCATCAAGTACAGGGCATCTTCTCCAGAACTGAAGGTCAGTACGTTCATGGTGGACTCCACACCTCCCCCTCCGTCACAGCAGACACACCGTCACCCACGGGGGATCCCGGGGGTCATGTCCTGCCCCATCTGGTTTCACAGGTAAAAACGGGACCATTTACGAAAGTGTTTGGCGTCTGAACACCACAACGCGTATGAATAGGAGACTGTAAAATCCGGTGGAATTAAAGCTGGAAGTCACAACATTCGCTAGGACAGAAGCTGGATGACTTTAAAGGAAGCCCCCGCTTCAGAACGTCCACGAGACAGAAAGTGTTACTCACCCGTCCGCCCTGCCTCCCACAGAGGAGACCATGCTCCTGACAAACCCCCAACCTCAACGTCTTCAAGCTGCCTGTTGCTGTTCCCTCGCACCTTAGGATTGCTCGGAGGGACCCACGCGAAGCGCAGTGATCATTTTAAAGCAGTAACTCCTGCCCCCACGCACCCCCAGCCGGCCCTCCCTCGCCTTCACTATCAGACTTTCGAGGGGACCCGTCGGTCACTCGCAGGCACTGCTTGCTGTCTGCCTCCGCGTTGGAAAGGTCACTGGCCGCCTCTGGCCCTAAACACCATTCCCACCAGCTGAGAAAGGTTCCCGAGTGCGTTACCGAAGAGGCGCCTGTGGACGCATGGCTCTGGGACCGTGCAGTTGTTTGCTAAGCAGGGACAGCCGACGACACTCTATTTTCCACTCTGGTTGGACTAACAGACCCTCCATCATCATTTCTCGCCCCGTAGTGTTCGGCCAGCACTCAAGCTGGACAAGCCTTCAGCCCAAGTCACCCAAACAGCCGACGTCCCCGATCTGAGTACCCTCCGGGGGGCGCGTGCGTGAGGACTCGAGCGAGGCTGCATCCTTCGGAGAAACAGTTGAGGATTAGCATCGGGTTTTACCCATACTGTGCTCTTCTCACGGAGGCTCAAGAATTTGTTCGGACAAAGGTCCCCTCTGCACACTCAGGGCTGGAGGGCGTCCCGAGATCCTGCTGATAAAAGCGAGGCCTCCCTCTCCTCTGAATCCCGACCGCCTCCTGCCAGGTCTCCCTCCCGCCTCCCTCTCCTCTGAATCCCGACCGCCTCCTGCCGGGGCTCCCTCCCGCCTCCCTCTCCTCTGAATCCCGACCGCCTCCTGCCGGGGCTCCCTCCCGCCTCCCTCTCCTCTGAATCCCGACCGCCTCCTGCCGGGGCTCCCTCCCGCCTCCCTCTCCTCTGAATCCCGACCGCCTCCTGCCGGGGCTCCCTCCCGCCTCCCTCTCCTCTGAATCCCGACCGCCTCCTGCCGGGGCTCCCTCCCGCCTCCCTCTCCTCTGAATCCCGACCGCCTCCTGCCGGGGCTCCCTCCCGCCTCCCTCTCCTCTGAATCCCGACCGCCTCCTGCCGGGGCTCCCTCCCGCCTCCCTCTCCTCTGAATCCCGACCGCCTCCTGCCGGGGCTCCCTCCCGCCTCCCTCTCCTCTGAATCCCGACCGCCTCCTGCCGGGGCTCCCTCCCGCCTCCCTCTCCTCTGAATCCCGACCGCCTCCTGCCGGGGCTCCCTCCCGCCTCCCTCTCCTCTGAATCCCGACCGCCTCCTGCCGGGGCTCCCTCCCGCCTCCCTCTCCTCTGAATCCCGACCGCCTCCTGCCGGGGCTCCCTCCCGCCTCCCTCTCCTCTGAATCCCGACCGCCTCCTGCCGGGGCTCCCTCCCGCCTCCCTCTCCTCTGAATCCCGACCGCCTCTACCAGCTGGGCTCTCTGCCCTGCCCTGGGCAGCGCCTGGGCAGGCTGCTTGCAGGAGTCTGATCTCAGGACTTCACTGGGATTCCTGAGAGCAGCGGCGGGTCACAGTTCCCTTTTTGTTGACCAAACGCTTCACACAGCGCTTTGAACCTTGGAGATGCAGAAAATACATCCATGAATTGAAGAGGTGAGTGACTGGGGGGAAATGACAATACTTGAACGAACACATATACATAGTCATAAACTCGGTGCCCGAAGTCTCCACGGGGAACCAGGCGACTGTGGAAGAAAGAACATGGAATTGAAAGCCAAAGGAAGGTAACTTATTAACTGCGTGGCCTTTGGAAAATTTTTCTTTTCTAAGCCTCGGTCTCTACATCTGTCACAGGCAATAACACCGCCGACTTTGAAGACTGCTGGGAAGATTTAAGGGGGTACGCAGAGTGCGGACCCCAATCGGCGGTAAAAACTCGACACAGTGTTCGCATTGTCGCCAGCGTCTGGGAGCTTTGAAAGCCAGCGAGGGCGGGTCCTTTACCTCGTACATCAATGAGACTGCAAAACCCTGTCTATCTGGGGGCTCCACTGGCACCATCTCATTTGGAAAATGCACAAAGGCGGCGAAATAAGGAGATGTGACGATTGTTCTGGTAACATCCTGGCTTCCTGCGAACTGAAAAATGATACGAAAAACACCCCTCTCTGCTCAGGGCCACGGAGCCCACGAGGACTCTGGGCAAATTCCCAGGGCTGTGAACCGACACACGTGGAGGAAATCCCAGCGCCGAGACCGCCCATGGGACCCAGATCTTCCTGACGCCCGGAGAAGGCTGCGGAGGGGGCCGGAGGACCCCAAGCAGGTGTGGCGATGTTTACGGAACGTGTTTCTCTCGGTCTCGCCCACGGTTCTGAGAGCACCAACTGCCCAGCTCTTTGACTCTCAGGGACATTGCTGCTGACGTCGGGAGCGGCCGCTCTGCCCGACGGCACAAGATGCCACCAGGCCGGTGCAGTCGAACCACGGTCACAGCCCACGCCTTGGACAATGGACCCGACAGGCTGGCTGGCCGGCCGCTCCAGGGCCGGAGGAGAACTCGGGCTCACGGCGGACGCCCCGCTCCCCGGCTGCGGGGACGGAGGGGTCCCTGGGAAGACAGTGGCGTTCTCCCACGTGGTTTCTTGCTGTTGTTGCTGTTTAGTTTGTGCTCCGGCACAGGTGTAAACCTCCTCAGGGCGAAGCACGGTCTTATCTGTGTTTCCTCAGTAGCTAGAGCACCGCCGGGCAAAGCGGGGGCGCTTCATGCGGTGTGTTCCGTTCCAGCGTAGGACACACAACTGGGCCCTGCAGCCCGTGTCTCCCGTCCCGGAGCCCACGCTCTCTCCAACGCCCAGGCGGCCTCTCCCCACTCGCGACAGAAGACGCGCTAACCAGAGCCTTTCCCTGTGTAAGCCTTCGGATCAGTCTGCACTCGTGGGCACAGTCACTCTTCCAGGTCTGTGCTCTTTAAATTAGGCTCAGCTGTCTTCAGCGTCCTCAGCATGATTCATTCGGTTCTGGTTCCAAGGCTGTTAAACTCCCTTCCATCAGACGAGATGCTGACATTACTTCCGTTGGAAGGTGTCGCCCCTCCCACTGTGCACCAGCTTCACACGTTAAGGCCTTCGAGTCTCTGATTTTCAGCTGAATTTTTAATAGCACACAATTCCCC